GTCTGTCTCACATCCTAGAATATTATTTAGCAAGTTTTGTTGTGTGAACCTTATGTGTAGGATTGTGTACTGTCCCCTTGTTGCATCATCGATACTTCTCACGTTTCGTTTAAATATGTTAAGTTTCGGATCAAAGTTCTACTGATGATATTAAAAGAGAGTCGTGAGTTAAAGAGAATTTCATAAAAAGTATTGAAATATTTTTCTTGGACCTCAAATCTACTATGAACAAGAATACGTTTGAGGTTCAATAATTCGACTACACGTTCCATGTTTCAAATTTGAAGTATCGTTGTTTAATATTAGGCGTTTATCGAGTATTTTTTTGACTGAACCAACTAACGCATTGGACGTACAAGTTTGTTTTGTTGCTGACTTTTACATATTCACAAAGCGTCAACTCTTATTTTTATCCTCCGGTAATAAAATTTTTATGTAGTAATTTAACTAAGTACAGTTTGTTCGAATGACACTCATGATTTATATTCTTTACAAGTTATCGTATAATGGTTAGTGTTAAAGTGTATCCAATTAATCAACTCATTCTGGTAAAAGTTTATTTACGTGAATGGTCATTGAAAGCACCACCGTACACAAAAATAACCTCAATAAATGAATTATCGTTAATGTAAAACTCAAATGGACGTTGGGAGTTGTTTTAAAAATCCGTGTGTCAGTTATTCAAACGCAAAGAAGAACCTGATATGCTTGTTTTATTTATTTATTTTAACACAGATATTGGTACAAGGAGGCACCAAATACATATGCGCCACACAAATCTCATTCGATATGTGTGAGGGCTGTGATACTGCCCGGTAGCCCAAACCGAAGCAGGTGGTTTTCTTAGGGGGCCACACCCCGGTTAAAGTTGCCGGTGTGGGCAACCGGGAAGTTATAACTGCCCTCACACCTCTAACAGCACTCAAGATCACTCTATTCATAATCAATCTCCCTCTTCAATTCCTATTATTCCTCCTACCTCAACTCTAAACTTTCTCCTTTGAATTCCTCATCAAGTGTCACTATGGCTAAGGATTCTGGCTTTCCAGATTGACGAAAAAACGGGAGTTAAAAAGTCAAGTGTAAGTGAGATGATCTTGGAAGAAGATAACACTCTAAAGTGCTTTCAACCCAGACGTTAAAAATAATGGGCTGAACACTTTAGGGAGCAATTCAACCGGATTTCAGCTACTCTACAACTACCCACCATTCACAAACAGCGTGAATGGGACATTGAAGTAGGCCCCCCGACTCTAATTAAAGTTCAGAAAGCTATAACTAATCTGAAACGATGAAGAGCAGCTGGTCCAGATGGATTGGCTTCAGAAGTTTTTAAGCATTGTGGTCCGGTTTTAGTGATTAGGTTTACCAGTATTCTAGCTAAATTCTGAGAGTTGGACGTAATCCAATCTGACTGGTCGCAATCACTAATTGTCCCAATATATAAGAAGAGGTCAAAGTCACCCTATGATAACTATAGAGCGATTAGTTTAACTAATATAGCATCTAAAATGCTAGCCTCAATAACTGTCGGACGCTTAACAAAGATACGTGAACTGCAAACACGAGAAAACCAAGCTGGTTTATACCCGGTCGTGGCTGCGTCGACCACATATTCGCCATTCGTCAGATTTTAGAACACAGGGATGCTTATGGGGGTCCGACAATGATGGCTTTGTTTGACTTAAAAGCAATTAAGGGACGAGTATACTGCGCGGCAGTCCGTTCTGTTCTAATTTACGGCTGCGAAACGTGGCCGTTAGGAGTAGAAGATACCCGTAAGTTACTAGTATTTGATCACAGATGCCTTAGAAATATTGCTTTCATCCGCTGAGATAATCGAGTAAGTAATCATGAGGTTAGACGCAAGGTATTAGGGAGTGATGGTAAATCAGTTGGTGAGGTTGTAAATCTTCATCGACTGAAATGGTTGGGCCACGTGTTGCGTATTCCTGAACACCGATTACCACGACGCGCAATGCTGACTAGTGTTAAGGATGGTTGGAAGGAAGTTAGGGGCGGTCAAACCAAAATGTGGCATCATTCATCTGTCTTCCTTTACTATATCCTTATACACCATCTTTCTTTTACATATGACTTCTACTGAACACCTCCGTAAATATTAAACCACATTTATGTATCTATTTGCGACAGTTCTTTAATCTCAGTCGCAACAGGTTTGTTGAGACTTTCAAGATAACAGTCATGTCCGAGTCTTTAGCTTCTATATAACCTTAAATTAGTTTCCGAGGCCCATAGTATCAGAAAAATACCGTCTCGTAGCATTGAAAAACTCGTGTTCACTTTGAAACAATACCGAATAAACAATTTTTTATTTCTAGTTAAGATATTCTTGTTGCATATGTAGCGTTATTATTTGCAATCATCCAGTTTTAAGTGCCTAGATTTATCTGACTCAATGTGTTTATTTCAGATGGTTTAATGAAATTGAAGGAAAGTGCCAAAAAAAGAAAAGGCAGAGGATTCGGAGCTGGTATGAATTTTAATGCTTCTAAGCCCTGTAGATTCAGTCGGAACGACAAAAGAAGGGTATGAATCTCTAGTAGTGGATGACGGATCGTCAAAATCAGGACCTCAAAGATGTAAGTTGTTACGATAAATATATATGTATATTGTTTACCAGCCGTAGAAGGTTGGATATTGTTTGTAAGGAATGTACAGGAAGAAGCTACGGAAGAAGATATTCGAGATAAATTCTGTGAATATGGCGATATAAAAAATATACACCTTAACCTTGACCGGCGAACTGGTTATTTAAAAGTACGTTCAGCCATCTTATTTACTAATAAATTGCAGGGATATGCATTAGTAGAATATGAAAATTTCAAGGAAGCTTTTACTGCTATGGAACATCTAAATGGTTCTGAGCTAAATGGTCAAAGAATTCATGTAGATTGGGCGTTTACGAAAGGTCCAAATCCAGTCAAAATGTCAACCAAACACAGAACACGTGAACGTAGTCGAAGTCGATCAGTTGACCGTGCTCGGCGATAATTGTACACTCATGCTCTAGATAAAATGTTTTTTTACATATCTTAAATACCTTTTTATCAAATAAGAAATGAGCGTCGGCTTGATCTCTTTCGTTGCATTATTAGTTGTTTTAAGCTACACCTATTCGAGTAAAAAACGTTTGTATTCCTTAACTGCTTCACCATTTAAATCATTTATCATTAACCGACTGATCGTGCAGTGTGTTTCGTTTTGAGGTTAATGTATGTAGTAAGCAATATATTTTGTTGGAAAGCATCAGGCACTTGGGTAAGATAACAATCTAAGTGTGAAAGCTAGCGATACTACTAGGCTGCCAAAACTGTAGTAGATGGAGCAAGGTTTTAACCTAGATTACATTAGTAACAGGTATACAAATCCTCATTATTTAGGATCGGTTTAAATGAGAAAAACTTGATATCTTTAAGGTAATGCGACTCTGTAAAATTGCAGTCTCATGAAAGTTTTTTGAGTGGTTTCATCATAGGTAGGTAGATATATATATATATATATATATATATATATATCTGACATCTACTGTGAATAAGTTTTCATCCCACAGACTATGCCTGATGCATTAGTACCCGGCTGTCGGAATAAGCTCGACGAAATATAATCTTCCAAAGTTTGCCAATTACCCATTCATAACTTGGTGACTAAGTACTTAAATTGATACTGAGTTTAAGTTTATCTTATTTACATTAAAAAGCAATACCTATTTGTCCCATCACCAGAAATCTGTCGCAAATAGGAAATATGTAAGATAAAATAAAAGATACATAGTCCTGTGCTATTTATGTCATCTTGTTATTCGAAAAAACTCAGTACGAGCATTCCTTCAGATGCTTTGGTTCATCAACCTTAACATCCATTTTTAATTCGCTTAGTATTGCAGTGGACGGCGATACACAAAACATGATCGAATAATTATTACTTAAACATTCCAACCGGTGCTTCTATAACACCTTTGATCGACAAACTCATTGACTTCAAAGAACTTAATGTCACTCAGTATTGTAATTTAGTTTTAGACCGTCTTAGATTCAGCGTTACTTGTTGATCTTCTGTGGTCTACATAAGTATGGGAGCGAATTCGTCATATCAAGGATGGGTAGACTTCATGTGTACTTATTTCAACTTGCAATTCACTAACTCCCAGGAATTCGTTACAATAAACAGATAAGAATAGACATTTTGTTTAACAAAGGCACTTATGGTGTTATTAAAAAATTCATTGGTCGACTAGAGATATTGCGTTATTACTGCCATTCTGATTAAAGACCAAGGTATACAGTTTGTGTTTAATACACAAAAACCACCAATGTTGTGTATGATAACATTGTTACAACTTTAAATGACTAGACATTGAGTGGTTTGACGTATCTAGTAATTTTTCCAGTTTGAGAAGCAAAGCTGAAAGTGACTTCCCAAGACTTATGTGCTTCATTGTCCCCTGACAGAATATCACTGGTGATTTCGTCGCAAGAAAAATCCAGTCTAAATTTTTCCTATTTCTTTTACGAATTGGGATATTGTATATTAATTTACAATACAATAAAAATCCGGGAGAATATTTTTAGAATGATTTAGTGGAGATGTTAAGTTAATGCAGTCATTTTAAAATGTACAGAACATATATTACCGATATTATATAATGCTCAGATCCCAACAAAAAGTCTGTTTGAATTCTAGCTTATTCCACTCACCGTTTTAAGTAACGAAGAGAATTATGCAGATATTACATTAACAATGTTTTCTTTTTCTGAATAAATATTTTCTTTACTACTGTATAACTAAAAAACTGTAGCAACTTAGTCATGTTTTACACATTGTTTCTATCGCGTAGATAATTTAATTGTTTTGTTGTTACATTTCACATAACACTTGATGAAACGATACTCTAAACTACGTTTCGCGAAATTAGCATGAAATACATTTACCACATATTTTCAACATTTATGACGACTGAAATGATAGAATTAGGCAGATGAGTAGCAAATTAATTGTATAAGTTTATTTCAAATGATAGCGTGATAAGTAGATCATTTTACAGGATAGAATCATAAAATGAAGTAATTGCATAATTTCAAGAAATTTAATCCAATCAACATGAGTAATATACGTATATCAAGGTGTATTTACAATTTTATGTTGTCAAGAATAATCAAATGATTCAACTGTTTGAAAAATGCACCATGAAATCTTTGGTAATTAGTGTTGTACTTCTGTTCTAGTCTTCGATTCAAGTAAATTAACACATCTTTTTTTGGCATCATATAATTTATGTGTATAAATATATTCCAAAGTACGATCTGGAACGAGGTAACGTACACTTTTACCATTTGATAAAGCATGACGTACGAAAGTAGAGCTTAGTGAATTCTGACAATTGTCTATCACTAAACTTATATTATCCTAAGTGAAATATTGGAAAAATCAGATATACATTGGAAAATAACTAAACAAATATTGCATCTATCAGTAATAATGATTTCTGTGCATGAGTAAACTACCTTAATAAATCTATGCTTGATTATAAACGTACTTATCAACATGAAGTCTTCCTAAACTCTCACTGTTTTAAAGTTCTTTAAATGATTGGAAATCGTTTACTTTATGAAATATGCCTTGTGGGGTATCTGTAATTGATAGTTTAAAAGCATTTTGTAAATTATAGATTGGTACTTACTGTAAGTTCACTTACGCTGATAATAAATGACTAGCTAAATGCATTACATTTTGCCTTTTCATTAATACACATATACGACAATCTAAAGTTTAAATATGAATATACTTACCTAATTACGCCTGTTACACCTCATGGAGGAGCACAGACCGCTCACCAGCATTCTCCATCCAACTCTGTCTTGGGCAGTTCTTTCCAGTTGCTATTCATCCTTTTCATATCTGCTTTCGATTTCCGATGCAGTGTATTGTTCGGCCTTCCATTTTTTCGTTTCCCTTCAGGATCCCAAGTTAGCGCTTGCCTTGTGATGAAGTTTGATTATTTCCTCAACGTGTTCTATCCACTTCCAACGCCATTTCCTATTCAGATGGAGCTTGGTTTGTTCGCTCCTACAGTAGGATGTTGCTCATGGTATTCAACCAACGAACATTAAGTATATTGCGCAGACAGCTGTGTATAAATACTTGTATCTTTTCGATAATGGCTGTAGTAGTTCTCTTAGTTTCAGCTCCGTACATTAGAACTGTCTTGATGTTCGCAATGAAGATTTTGACTTTGATGTTGGTTAACAGTTGCGTTGAGTTTCATACGCTCGTCAACTGTAGGAATGTTGTTCTTGCGTTGCCAATCATCGCCTTTACATCTGCATTGGATCGTTCTCATTTACCAATGATGCTGACCAGGTACGTGAATGTTTCCATACCTTCCAGAACTTCTCCATCAAGTGTGATTGAGTTGGTGTTCTCTGTGTTGAATTTCAGGATCTTTACTTTGTGTATGTTGAGGCCTGCTGATGCAGAGATTGCTGCTACGCTAGTTGCCTTCACCTGCATTTGTTTGTGTGTACGGGATAGAAGTATCAGGTCAACTAACAAGTCCAAATCATCTACTTGTATCCAAGCTGTTCATTGTATTCCGTGCTTCCCTTCAGATGAGGAGGCCTTCATAATCCAGTCAATCAGCAGTAAAACCATGCTCAAATCACTTTGGGTGGTTTATTTATTTGGACACATAGATATTGATACAAGGGGGGCACCAGATAAATATGCGCCACACAAATCTCATTTGATTTGTGTTGGGGCTGTGATACTGCCCGGGTGCCCAAACCGAAGCAGGCGGTTTTCTTAGGGGACCACACCCGGAGCCTTCGACCTGAAGGTCTGATCCCCACGGCAGTGGAGCATCCTAAGGAGTTGCGGTCTCATGGTAGCCGGTGACCAATAATTAGTTCATACGCCATTTGTTCCCTCAGGATACTGGAGCTCATGTGCAACATTGGTGTTGTCAATTTCGGCTTTGGCGTTTAGGTCTCCCATCCGGATGGAGAGATCCTTTCTTGGGCACTTCACTGTGATTGATTGCAGCATCTTGTAGAAATGATCGTTATCATCTTCATTGCTATCACTTGTGGGTGCATAACGTTGGATAGCATTCATTGTAATCCCCTCATTTTTTGTGAAGGATGCTTTAATGATCCTGGGTCAATGAGCTTCCCATCCTATAAGCGCATTACGTGCTTCTTTGGACAGCATCAGAGCAACTCACTGAGTGTGAAGAGCATTCTCCCTTCGCGGCTAACGTTTGCTGTCCAGCTTGGGTCCTCTGGGTTTCGCTAATTCCGAGAACCGCCAACTTGTATTTCCATAACTATTTGATTGGTCCTCCAGGTTTCCCACATTGTCCGGACGTTCGATGTACCTATATTAATTGTTGCTATGGTTATTAAAAGGGGTACCGACCTCGTGACTTCCGAAGAATCTCAGCTTCCATGATGAGGCGTCGTAATTTTTCCTTCATCTAGGAGGGCACAGTTTAGATGGTTTACTTTGTTTAATCTGGTTGGCGTTACTTTAGCAGCATTTTTCTTCTACAGGATGAGGTTGCCGACCCCATGTCCAACCCTCCTCCTTTACCCGGGCTTGGGACCGGCAGTAGCCCCACAAGAGCTACAGGCGGAGTTAAATTTGAGTATACTAATCTTGAAATAATCGAACTTAATTTAAACGGACGATAAAGCATGACATATTTTATGTTTAGCAAATGATTGCTATCGAGAAGCATGCATTTGGCATCGGCAAGTATTTCGCATTGTGACTGTGACGGTTTTTTTATAAGTACATCAGGTTAAAAAAAGAAGTCCAATGTAGATCGGCATAAGGTGTCTAACATATTTCGGACGATAAATGTTATCAGTTACCAAACATATCCAACTGACAAATGTAGTTATGTAGTAAACAAAGACTTGGTGGGGAAAACCAATTTGTTATTTTATCTAAAATTACCAGTGCTTTTTTAAAATATGAAAACCATACATGCATGCACCACAGTTACAATAATTTCATAGTTCCAGAATGTGATCAACAATGAAATCCAAGATAAGGATTCCGACCTAATTAGGACTTGTCAGCCGGATATATATATCCCAGTTTTGATTTTCATATTGAACCTCGAACCCAGTATCAAACGAAAAAATACTAAATCCATATAGCCACTGATATGTTCAGCGGATATGATATAATTTTTAAGATTTCGTATTCTCTTATTCATTGGTCACATACCCTAACAATAAAGGTTGGCCAAATACAATCCTGATTATCAATAAACAGAAGAACGAAAATCTTCACAATTACTGTTTATTTGTCTGTGCTAATGTGGTGTGGCAACTCGAACTGATGTACGTATGTACGAAGTTCTACGTTGTTACTGACTGACTGTTTATTTGCACTCGTTTTACCCATAACTTGACGGTATTGCAGGCGGTAACCAAATAAGAAATTTGTAAGCAAACCAATCAAATATCGATCTAACTTCTTTCTCTATTAATTTCAAATCTACATTATTAAGTCATCTGTATATTCCTACTATAACAACAGGTAAAAACAGTTCAAATACAAGCACTTATGGTAATTTCTCATCAGTGTTTCCAAATAATATTCTGTGTAAAAAATCAAAACAAATTACCTTATATTTTCCCAAAATTTTTGATTCATTGATAATTTTTAAAGGCTCATATGAAGGTCGACTAATACAAATTATACCATAGTCACGAACGATCGTTTCAATCTGAAAAAGAGGATAATCTAATAGAAACTTTATTGAGTTAAATTGATCAATAGATGTATGGTTGTTCTATGAAATAAGACCAACCTTATGCATCAGGTAATGTATACTAATTATCATAGTGTTATATTGTACATTGTGATCGATGAATGCTGTTTCCCGTCTAGGGCATCTAGCTTATAGAATTCAATACGAGTAATTACAGTCCGTTCTTAGAATGGATGCATCCGATCATATATAAGTAAATTGTAAAGACAACAATAAACTACAAACAGATAAATATCGTGATTAGTTAGCAAACTGAATAAAATTTTTAATTAACCGGTTATTACTTCCCAACAAGAATCAAAGTATAAAGTAGTCGACCGGAGAATGTACGATGGAACGTTGTTGGTGGAAAAGTGTTATACCTCTAGATTTAATGAGTGAAACATGATACCGCAACTGGCAAACTGAAAAAGTGCTATAATACCAAATGTTTTAAATAATGTACATTGTATTTAAGGGTGATTCTACAGAGAAGATCGCTAGTATATACAATAGGCACAGGGTGACTAATTGAATCAAACTAGCTTATTTTTAATAACCATAAACTTACATCTTCTGCTGACCACAAATTTGGAGTTTTGAATGATTCCAGAAGATCAGCACCACAAACTAATTTCACACAAGGCTTTGATAGCAAAACGTTTGAGGTATTGTTTTTGCGACAGTAACATGATCTATCTACAGATGATAATGAAGTGAAGAGATTGCTGTTGAAATGATCATCATTAGCATTATGTACTTGATTTTCGCTACATTTTATGTTACTAACATCAATAAGAGAGTCAAGATGAAAGCAACTCTTAAGCCAGAGGTCAGTCGCCATGCCTTCTAGTGATGAAAGTTTCGTTTGTTCGTGGTCTTCATTAATTAAACGATCAGTGGCTAGAAAATAAAGAAATTATTAAGTGGATACACCTAAAAGAATTTACTCCTGACAGATGAAGATGTATGTATGATTGAAAATAAGGCATTTTGGCAGTTAGTGTACTACGGAAGAGATAAATAAAGCTTTATACACTAAGAAGTTGTTACAAAGATCAATTACGAAACTACGACTGAGTACTAGGAAATCAATTTCGGTAGATGTTTTCTTCTTCTAAGAGGATATTTGTTATGGGGCGGAATATGCATAGATAACTCTAACGACAACTGTGATAGCGTATGCAATCGTTATCCTCGCTTCTAGCGCCTTTCAACTAGCTACTACAAGAGACGAATCTTATTAAGATTTATTGAACGAAACCAAAGAAGATTGATTTTACATCCGAGTTAATTTAGTTCCATGATCATTAGTTACAGAGTGAACTGAGAAGTAAACGACAAAATACAATGAAATTTAGTGAATGGAATCCAAGTAAATCCATTAACGTTAACTAAGCGAAAATCTAAGTCGAAATGAGAACTTATACCGAGTTTCTTCTACGTACGTGGCATATAAGGATACAGCATCGTCAGTAAACTTTTTTCGCAGTAAAAAACGCCGTTAATAGACAAAAAGAATTTGTATTTTATGAGGAATTATAGAAAAGTGATGGATAGGCTATTAGAAATTTGGAGATAATCAGTGGGAATCCCTGTACACATTTTCTGTCTGTACGGACTCATTAGTAAACTGTATCAGCAACAAAACAGTTTCCAACCTGACTCCATTTACTTTGGTTTGGGCAACTGAATATTATCACCAGCAAGAATAATCAATGAACCTAAAAGTCAAGTAAGGAAATCTTAACTTGGTGAATAATTTACGTCTGTTCGAAAAACTATACTCTCTAGTGAAGTTGAACTTAAATTGTCTAGCGAAATAGTCCTAAATATTGCTAGTGAGATTGTAGTCAGCACCATATTAAATGATCCACACAAACTAGCTGTAAGATGATAACGCACAATACTCATTTTAAGCATTAAGCATGTAAATGATAAGTAAACGTAGATTTGTAGATACAACTAGAAAATTATACTTTTAATAAAGTGTTACAGTTCAATATTTCAATTTATAACTATTATTTGCTGTAAAATCTAGGAGAAGACATCTGATAAAACCTATTTAATACTTCTTCGGTCACATAGACTAGCTGAATAACTAGTCTTATCAATACGCTGAATTACATATTTATTGGGTTTTGAGGACAATAATTAATGACTGAGAATATCCAATATACATTGGGACTTAAAGATCAATAGGAATAGTTCTAGATCAATGACTCGGGAACTGTCAGTTTAAGTTGTACAATTAAATGTTTATGAACTCTAGTAGTTTGTAGGTAGAAAGTGTTTATGGAACGGGACATTATAGGAAAAAGTGATCTTAATAAAAAATCTTCAATAAAACATTGCACTCCAGGTCTGTTTACATGAAATCACCAAAAGCTTCACACATATATAAACGCATTTTAAGCATAGGAAACTCACGATAAAAATTGCTTGGTGCGAAGCAAGTCTTTTTTCTTGGAACTGAGTCAATTTCGGTTTCGTCATTGTTACTTAAATTCGAGTACGTATTATTCAAGACACTATAAATGTGATCTAAGACCACTCGAGTTCTTAACCAACTTGATTGTGAACACTCCCAATTGCTTACGGCCAACCAGTCGGATGCAGAAATACAGGCTAATCGTGTAAGCTCGACGCGTATAGAAGCTGGTAGGAGACCTTTCTTTTCATACAGATTGGACACAGGACTGAATATACCACCAACGACGACTGTCTGATGGTCATCATTTATTGGATGGTCATCACTATAGTCTTTTTGAGTGAACTGGTTATTCTCCTCAGACAAAACATGATGAGATTCTTTTGTTGACAAATGCATATTTTCAATCTTATCTCTTGCTAGTTCTAAACAAAAAAAAATGAGTAATAAACAATTGAGAACATTAAAAGTCCATCTTGAAATAAATAAAATGTAAATGACAAACAAAAATATCTCGTTTCAGCAGACCTTTTGAATATTTCAATTGATATTGTTAATGAGCGTAGCTAAACAGAGGGAAAAACAACAAACAAATATTTTTATTTAAAATCAAACCTGACGAAGATGTTTTTAGACGAATCTGCATGGGATTTTCTTGAATGAACCAACGAATTCTAATTTACTGCAACTACTCGTACCGTTCAGCTTATATTCATAACTTGGCTTTCCCAGACAATTTTAGAGCTAAGAAACAATTATATGAAAACTGCTGCGATGGTAAGAATTAAATTCACATAGATAAATATATACAGGTAGTTGACATCATGCTTCGAGATGACATTTAATAGCTAGTCCGTCATATGCAATATAGAACATATGTGCAACAGATCAAATTGCCATACTCCACTGGGACAGTGGAATAAAATTGTCAGGGGGGAATAACAGAGTAGTAGACGTAGTAACAGTATTAGTGGTGATAAAAGAGATTAGGCATCGAAGATACGATCCCAGAAAATATAGATTAGTGGAACAAAAACAATTTAAAAAGTGATTTAGCAGCTAATGACCCAAAGGAAGGCACCTGGATTACTGCGAACGATCCTGAGCCATGTCACCCAAAGCCTCTAACCACTGGTTACGATAATCACGTAGACCACAACTAGGTAGTGTGCACCTGCTAACATGACCCAGTTTAAAAGTCAACATACTCATGGACTGATACCGTTTTTTGGTCTGAACATTCCCAATTTCTTTCCAGTCTACTCCTACACTAGAAATTATCGCATCTCAACGTAGTAGGTGGACGACTATACATATTCTGTTCTGACCATCTTAACCGAAAAAGATTACCTCATCAATAGATTTGCATTCCTACCTAATATTCTATCACTAACCCGGGCATTGCTTCAAAGAAACCTATAGTCGAATACTGGTAACAAACGAATATCCTCTATTCTTAATGGTCATGTTTCAAACAAATGTGGTAAAACACAGGGAACTACTGAGCAGCAAACTTGTTCTTCGGTTAGTGGACGGATATCTCATCTACTTTATAAGTGATGCAAGTTGGCAAACGGCAACAGTTTTGGATTTGTGTCGAAATTTCATCAAGTATCAACCCAATAGGGCTGATCGGACTTTTGAAATAAATAAAATGGTCGACGCACTCAACTACTTGACTCCCTATCCTTAGTTCAGGGGTTGATGAAGACCCGTCTTAAAGCAACATTTTGCATTTAAATGGAGAGAACCGCATCTGAAACATGTTATTACTGTTGTTTAAGATATTCAGAAGATCCTGGGTTTTTTAGCGTCCTTACCAAACGTAACTACATCTGCGTATTCTAAGTCCATAGTAGAATCTCCTGGTAGATTATCAACTCCCGAAATCTCATACGATGAGTGTTACTGTTAAAAGCCTGTCTATGACAGTTAACATGGGGAAAATAGAGAACTCCAACTAACGTCACTTGAAGCCACCAATTTCCATTACAGTTCTCATGAGCCCTGACTCGACCAGTATATATACTTCTTTGGTACGCCACTTAATGACAGACAGTGTCGCTCAAGTGGCTTTCTTGAGTCTTAGGGTAACCCTTCTAGGCTGAAAGGACTGAATATTAGCCTGTGCTTGATCAATAAGTTAAATAAAATGATAGCTTTGGTGACTTTGAAATGTTTTATAGAAGTCGTTTGATTAACTATCACATCGCGTATTATTTGTCAACGCTAAGTGGAGAAAGTGGAAAGGTGATCCGTTTCTCGAATGGCACCATAGTACGAAAAAAATGTATGAGACGGGGATTTGTCTGTTTATCCGGATTGGTTGCTTTAAGTTCTAGTGACCATAGAACTAAGTGGCTACAGATGTCATAAGATATGGCTCAGAATGGAAATCAGTGGGAATAATGCTCCAGTTTCCATTAGACTCATCATGGAGACAAAGTGAATTCTGTTATTTGAAAAAATTACCGATTGCATTTCTTTGATCTAGATATATTTATCACTATTCCTTATTCTCACCACTTTGAACTATTTATTTGTTAGATATACGACCTTACCTCCACTACTTCTTCGAGATCTTATCGCTTTATCTTGTCCAATGCAGTTATGGTGCCATATTGTACAAGAACTCTTTATAAATAAACTCTATAAATAAGCTCTCATTGACGAAAGTAACAGATCTGATTAAGATTTAAATTAAAGACAATCTTATTCATCAAAAATTGATAAGTGGTAACGGCGAAATATCTGCGCACTTAATTTTGTAGATAAACATTATTTAAGGATTGCAATATATATGAAACATAGACTCAGATCATTTAGTTGGTTATAATTGACTTTCTGATACCCTAGAGACGATGATTGAACCCCGTTAAAACGGGGCTACGAGATTATTTAGGTTGAGTTGTGTGTCTAATCGAAGGACGAAGAAACCAAGCTTCCAATGTAACGAAACATGAACATATCCAGACCCCTTATTACCACAATAACCAAACATTGAATGTATTGATTAAAACGAAACAGACATTATTAACTCTGAATAGTCATTTAGGTGATGTGCAGTAAAAAGTTAATGCCTCATTGTTTTCATTAACTCAATCGCTCCAAAGTCCTTATCAATAAGGCCTTTACTTACATACGTAATAAACTATTATAGAATACTTTTGCATCAATACAAGATGACTTACCCATCATTCGCATGTGCATTACAGTAATTGGATTGAAAGACCCACATGACAGCAGAAACACAGGTTTAATTCTCAGTTGTTTGTTGCACATTAGAGTTTGGCGATTAAATTCAAAAGGGTTTTTATAGTGAATCTAACAGCCAACCGAAATTATTTTGTTGACCTTAGACACATAAAGATTTAGATTTTACTTATTAGTTACATAAAAAGCTAAACTTGAACGATTTCCCAAACTTTTAACTAATAGAACTGCATGAAAACTAGAATATGGTTTAGTGGATAGATTTTTTAAGTTTTCTATAATTTTATACAGAATTTTACAGTTATGAAAGATGTAATTATCATACTCATTTTGCATACTACTAAATTGTTAAACAATTGATCCAAACATTTATTTTTCTGTTTCCATGGTCTTCTTAAACCATATGCTTGTTTTCATGATGCAATGGATGTTTTTGTTTGTAAAATTTTAACTAAAAAATAAAATTAACTTTTAGACTTAAACCAAATAAAAAGATATGAGGCTTAAACTTATGTTTTTAACTTGAGTTTCTGAACTAGGCCTAATATAAACCAATTTTGTATTGTTTGTTTGAATCTTCCCATTGATGTTTACGACTGCAGTCGACCAGTCCTTCATTGGCACATGTGCAAATTGTCTCCACCCAACTGACTAGTTTCAAACAAAAAGAAGCGCGCGCCCTGGGATTCCACTGCCAGCCACCATAGATCTTTGTTTATAATGCTTGTAACTGAGGTTATATCGATGCAATCCGCAATGGATGCATATATATCAATGAGACTAATTAATTGCAGTCCTAAACACCAGTAGGACGATCCAAACAAACAATGCGAAAATTAATTATGAAGCTGATAGTACACTCTAATTAGTACTTCGGGAACTTGTGACCATTTGCATTACCATTAAGTAAAAATCAGTGCATTGAACTACTGTTTTAGATACAGTATCGAGCGCAGGACAAATTTTCATCTACCTAGACCTTACATAATTTCCTTACAACATACGTTAATAAGAAAACAGACTTGTAAATTATGCCTATTAACCAAACTTTTTGAAAAGTAACGGAACAACGGCAAATAATTTTAAACTCGGGAATAGAGTGTAATGAAATAGTGAAATTAAAGCTTGTTAAGCATTCGATCGGCAATAACTCAGTGAAATGGATGTAATATCCAAGTCAGTTTTTAATTTTCACACCCCTCTGAAATTTGAAGTTAGCACTGATAGTTGATGAAGTAGAAATGGGGATCTATGTAGGATTCACTTGAATGGACTGGACTGTATATAACAAATCCCGCGTTTCTATAATGCCAGGTTTCTCATTACATGAAGAAACTAGTCTTCGGAAAAGTTCGACAACCAGTTGTCAACTGTAAGTATTCGTTAGTCATCTGAAGTTACCCAAAGGACCTAATGGCAACAATTTTATTTATTTTTTTAAACTTAACTATTTATTCAGACAACTTAGCGTTGTTCAATCAATTCAAGTCTGCATCATACGCATTATATATGTAATATGGAGACACCTGATGATCTTAGATTTTGTACTTTCCATTTCCCAGATAAGTTTTCCACCGGCAGGCTTAATCGTTCAACGCTGTAATATCTCGGTGTTCCACAGTAAGCTAATGAGACCATATAAGTGTTGATTCCACGCGAATGCATCACTGCTGTCTCAGGTTGTCAAGTTCATGCATTAAAGTTCACATAATTCGCTTCTTCATCCAGTTAAACATTGTGTATAAAACGTTGCGCTATTTAATTCAAAAGAAAATTGTCAGGACAATGTTTCAAAATATAAGGAACAAATTTAGGCGTCTTGATGGGGCATATCAAGATGCTCTCACACAAACCAACACATTCCGCAACACAGAACCTCCTTTTTAAGGATAATGATGTGCCAGGAATACAAATGTAGACTTATTACTTCTTTTCCAGTCTTTCATATTAAATTCGCCGTTGTTTTGTTTTACCAACATTTATTACAGACAATCCATACTACATAACCAGTGTTTAAACTCTCTAACTAACTTATTGGCCGGTAGTCCTCAAACAGATTTCGTCTACTTTCTTAAATTTACCCAAGCTCCCAATTTTCTGGAAAATCCCGAAGTCAAATGACCTTCGCCAATGTTTGGGGAATTGACCCAGGTCTGGGAAAATTTTGGGGTTTTAGTGCCATTTCCCCAAAGTTTACTATAGCGGCTTCCCCAAAATTGGGAGCTTGGTTTAGGGGAGATCTCATGGAAAAACCCAAAATTTCCCCAAACTTGGGAGTTTGGGGTGCTACACAGAAAGACAAAAAGGGAAAATTCGCATTATTTCTTCTCCTCAGACGGACAAGCAGACATTCGGGCGCGTTTACCCATTATTTTCCAACGCATTTCCCCTTTATTAGTTGCTTGGGGTCGATCCCGAAAAGGTAGCAGTGATCCTTGTGAAAGCGAGACCTTCGAAAGAAACTACAAGTATTCTTAAAAAATTGCGTAGTCAGTGAATATGTCTCTTGGTCACTTTATAACCACACTTACTACGTTGAAACAACTGCACTTAACTCCAAGTAACCTATATATTTATAAATTCCGCTGTCAGTTTCAGTTTCAGTTTGGGAAGGACAGGAGGCTCGATGGCCTATGTTAGTCCTGGCAATGGTGGTCTCTCAGTTGATCCAACTTTCTTTTGAAAGAGTCGACGGATGGAGCCTCAACCACGTGCTGAGGTAGTGAATTCCACTCGTTGATGATTCGATGGGAAAGTCAATAGTCAGCTGACAAGTAATTTGTTCTCGGCTTATGAACTTTTTTGGAGTGTCCTCGTAAATTCTCTGTTTTGGAAGACAAGAAAAATGAGGGCATGTTAGGTGCAAATTTATCACTAAGGAATTTGTAGACTGTAATCAAGTCGCCTCTAGTTCTGCGATATGACAACGGGAAAAGGTTCAGCTTGGCCAGTCGAGATTCATACGGAAGCTTCGCTATTGCGGGAACCAGTTTAGTCGCCGTTCTCTGAACCTTTTCCAGAAGCTCACTGTCTTTTATAAAGCAGGGGCTAGCCGCTTGTATGCAGTACTCAAGTTTAGGACGAACGAACACTGTATACAAAGTCAAAAACGTCTTAGTGTCGACATGACTAAAAGCCCTACGTATTGACCATAACGTTCTAAAACCTTTGGCGGCTATTGCACGGCAGTGTGCAGTAGTCTTTAAGTCTTGACTAACGATAACTCCTAAGTCATTATATGTCTGAACGACAGGTAGCTCAGTGTTATTCATCGTGTACGTATCTGTGCCTTGATGACCGATATGCATCACAACACACTTGGAAGTATTTATCGGCAACTGCCATGTTTGAGACCATTCAGATAACTTCTTCAGGTCATTTTGAAGTTCTAAGCTATCACTCTTACATCGTATCGTTCTCCATATCTTGACATCGTCAGCATATAGCAAGACCGATGATGATAGGAGACAAGGAAGGTCATTTACATACAAGAGGAATAGCACTGGCCCCAAAACTGTACCCTGGGGCACTCCACTAAGCACAGTTTCCCAGCTAGATAACTTTGAGTTCACCCTTACTCTTTGTTGACGCCCAACTAAGAAGTCTTTTATCCACATCAATAAATTGCCTCCAATCCCGACTTTACTTAACTTATATAACAGCCGGTTGTGCGGAACTTTGTCAGAAGCTTTACTGAAATCAATGAAGGCGACGTCTACAGGTAGCTTTTGGTCCTTAAGAGCGCACCAGCTTTCACGAGCCACTAATAAGTTAGTGAGACAAGAATAACCTATTCTGAAGCCATGCTGCTTCTCCGAGAGGATCCGGTTTTTATCGAGATACTCAAACAGCTCCTTCCGAATAATCTTTTCTAATATTTTAACAACCACACTAGTTAGGCTAACGGGGCGGTAGTTCTCAGGTTTGTGTTTCGTGCCTGTTTTGAAGACAGGACTTACTATG